AGGGGTTAATGTGTACCCAATTGGCTTCGTTATTAACCCATCAGCACCGCACCTAGGTTGTTCACCTGACAGACTGGTTTATGATCCAACAGCTCCTGATGACCAAAAGTGGAGTTTGCTAGAAATCAAATGTCCAGACAAGGACTCTTATCAGGACTGTCAGTATCTAAAGAAATCTGTGAACGATGGACAATATCACCTGAAGACTGTACATCAGTACTACTTTCAAGTACTTGGTCAGCTTGGTATCACTGGTTTCAAATGGTGTGATTTCATGGTGTACTGCAAAGACGATTTCATTGTTAATAGAATAACTTTTGATCAGAGTTTCTTCGATGATATGAAAAAAAAAAACTGGATTTGTTTTACTTTGAGCATCTCTTGCCTTGCTTGGGAAAGTGATGTTTAAGAAGTAGACTGCCATTTTGATATCCCGTTTAATTAACTACTGGATACTTAGAAATTTCATATTGACCGTGGTCTTACACTATAACTTTGTTGAGGAGGTATTAATTTAATCAAAATACAGAATGAAATGGGCAAATTTGTGTAAATGTAGTACAATTTATTATTTGATCAAAATACTGATGTGAAAGGGCTACAAATTCCTTCACATTGTGTAAAATTTCTCACCATCAAATCTTATACAGTAGAATCCATTCTTGCATTTTAGAACACTGTATAGTTTTGCAACTAGCATTATCAATACATTTATGTAGCAAGACTTTTTTTACACATGTGGATATAGATCATACAGTATCTTATTAGCATCATTGTGTACAACATCTCATCATCAAATATGTCTGTGATCTTAAGTAGAATGTACCCGAAGACAAGAGTCATTCTAGACTGTACTGTAGAATCCATACTTGCATTTTAGGACAGATAGTTTTGCAACTAGCATTATCAATACATTTATGTAGCAAGACTTTTTTACACATGTGGATATAGATCATACAGCATCTTATTAGCATCATTGTGTACAACATCTCATCATCAAATATGTCTGTGATCTTAAGTAGAATGTACCCGAAGACAAGAGTCGTTCTAGACTGTACTGTAGAATCCATACTTGCATTTTAGGACAACTAGCATTATCAATACATTTATGTATCTGTATAATCTGTATAGCCGGTATAACCGCCTTTCGGTGTAATACACCAGCTTCGCAGGCACGCGGCACGGCGGCGGCTGGCTACATTACACCGATCGACTTGTTACACCTAACTCTTGAACTTCTAACTCTAGACTTTGTTGTGGCAACACAGAACATTGCACGGGTCCGCATTCATGTAGAAAGAGCAAGATTTTTACACATGTTGATATATACATGTATTATACAATATCTTATTATATTATCATCATTGTGTAAAACATCTCATTATCAAATATTTCTGTGATCTTAACAATACAATACATTCTGTGAGCTTAACAATACATTCAGAACAATGGTCCTCTGAAGTTGGTCAACAATGCACAAACAGTCCATATTTGGTTAACTGACCCTGCCAGTGTTAAAGGTAACACACTGTCAAAGATGTGAAACTCTTTAATCCGCCTAATAGCTCTTTCTACGTGAATGCGGACCCGTGCAATGTTTTGTGTTGCTTCTACTTCTTCCCTGCTGAACTGAGGTCTTTTGCTGGTCAAGAATGGTGGGATATTCAAAGTAGCACCTTTTTTAGACACTAACTTACTTATCGTAAAACCCTTGTCAGCCATGACATCATCATTTTCATCCAATAATTCCACAATACCTGACTGAGAGGTGATGTCCACATCAGAAATACTCCCACTGTACAATTGGCTGACAAAACTCACAGCTCCTGAAGGAGTGATACCTATCAAACCTTTAAATGTGGTGTGACTTTTGTAGTTAGAATACATCTGACTGTTGCAGTACAGTGATGATGGGGTCTGACATCTTAGTTCAGTACAGTCTAGAACGACTCTTGTCTTCGGGTACATAGTTCTGAAACAGTCAGGCATATGTTAATCCACCTGAGCCCTTGATGGCCAGATAGGCAATGCGCCCAATATATGGTACAGATAGTTGGCCCAGGTGATTATAATTCTTGATACTGTGGAAAGACTTACATTAAACCTAACAGAAAGATCTTTCTCAAACAGACCACACTTGCAGTAACATAGGAACAAAAAGAACTGATCAATGCAAGACAAACTTCCATGCTTCATAATATCCCTCATATCAGCAGTTACATCCCTTCCCCTCTGCATTTGTGCCCAGGTAATCATCCTTGTGGCTGGTTGGTTCGAGAGCTTTATACATGGAAAAGAAAAGACTGTATGACTGGAAACCTGTGTAAAACCTAAGAGTATCTGGATCAGAACTGAAACGCTGAGCATTAAATGTAAGACACTTAAGCTGATTGTTCTGCAGTTCTAGTTTTTTTATGTGTTCCATGGCTACTGCTAGCTGTTCCTCCAGTGATGGTTTGCTGGGGCCTTGTGCATAGTCGTGGTCTACAGCAGTTCCAGTGTCACACACCTCCATATTGGAGTCACTGAAAATGAA